AGTTATCTCGAATATAGATAATATAATATAAATAATAATTCTTAAATATATGCAGATCTACGATTTGTTTTCGATATTGTTTCTTTTAAATGATGATTTATGATTTAATTAAAATTTAATATGTCCGTGATTAATATATTACACTTAACACTTGTCGTCTACTATAATATAGCATAGTGAGATTTGTTTTTGATTTGTTTTTTTGACAACTTACTTATTAGAGAGTTAAAGTCTACAATTGATGTGGTTATGTATGCTGTGAAATAGGGTTTGTTAAAAACGAACTCAATTGTGGCACCTCTAGAACTAAAAACAAATGTCTATTGTAGTATTGTGTATTAACTATAGTAAGTAAATTTATAATAATTTGTATAAATAAAATATGGAAATTTATATATTTTGTAAAACATAAGTGTTGATCTGATACGTACTTATTCTTTACAATATTTGTTGATTTCATATAAGTCCAATCGTCGTAATGGGACGTATATGCGATCCCATATTCTACTACAGAGCATGTTGGCAAACATTTGCATGTTAATTGCATTTCCGGTAGATAGGATGCTTCTACATAAAAATAATATCATCATATTTTTGATTTTATTTCTTAGAACAGTTACAAAATAGCAGTAATTTAGTTTTGAGATCACCTGTCGCCAAAAATTTGGTAATTATTTCAATACTCTTATATTCTATGTTATTGTTTAACATTCTATAAGCTGCTCTTTACTCTTTTTTAGGTTTTCATATTTTATATTAATGGAATACCGCATACATTTTAAATTAAACATTATGAAACAGAGTCTTTGAATGAGAAATTCATAGTATGTTAAAAGTAAATTTCAAATTGTACATGAGCTCCAGAACGTAATGCCATATGTTGTTCCACAACTCCAATTTTCAGAGATTTKAATTATTAGGTAATAAGTATGCTGATCATGTGCACTTCGTTTCCCGTWAAAAATGCATTAMAAAATTTTTTTTTTCAAATKTATTTTATTGTACTGGACAAATGGCGCCACCCGTTAATTATTATTTTTATCCCTCAATATTTCGTAAAATTGGATAAAACTATGATTCAAACCTTCTTTGTAAAGTATTCTAGGTATCATTAAAAAAAAAAAACGCATAACTATGAGTGGTTATATAGTGGTTCCGGAGAAGATGAGTGACAAACTGACAAGACTTCCATTTTCAGATTTATATTTTATAGTTTTATACTACTTTATTTTCATAATGAAAAATGTAATGTAATTGATCTAATCTACCATATAATGTTTCATATTGCTATTCATGGGTAATCAATYGTGATTTATATTTTTACCAAATCCATATAAGTTAAAAAATGTTTATTTTCAGAATGATTGCATTCGTTACGAGGATGAAACTTTAATACGCATTGTATTATTGTAACGACGAATGACAATCTAGTAGATATGCAATTTTGAAATGAATGTTTACAGTCTATYGCTAGAACAACTACTGTAACTAAGCAAATAAACAGTAACTAACTAAGATGTAGGTATAATTATTATTATCTTTAAACATAAATACATACTTACGTTGAGCTTTTATCATACACTCTTTTTTCGCCGAGCCACAAATTTTAACACTGTTTGACACTAAATCTAATCGAATACAAGATTATGTATATTTAAATGTAAACTAAAAGAAATATATGATATTAATTAAGATACTTACAAACCATGTCGATAGAGACACAGCCACATATTGATAAAGTTTCGTTTAGAACACATTCGAAATTACAATTCCCCTGAGTGTACTGTTGAAAAATGGATAATTTTCTCTCGTTGTGCAAATAGCATTTCCTGATTTCTGGAGAACGCCACTTTAATTGGGAATCAATTTTTTTCACGAATGGGGTAATTTTTATTCTAGTGTAAGTATCCGGTTTGATAAATGACCGAGGATCGAGCAAGAAATATTCAGCTGGGTTAGATAATGTAATCTTAATAAAACAAATAGATGTTTTTGAGCTGTGTGATACTTATTAAAATATTAATGTTAATATTATTAATCATTATTATTATTATTATTATTATTATTAATTATTATATAAGTAATTATTATTTTTATTTATTCTCTAATCAATGGTTTAAGGCAGCGGTTCCCAACCTGTGTACCACGGTACCCTAAGGGCACCGCGAGYTCATTTAAGGGGCGCCACGCCTCATCCGAGAATGAAAAAAATTATTAAATTATATATTAAAAATGTATTGTAGGTAGTTGAAAAGGCAAACAATTATTTTACATACAAAATTACTTAGAATACTATTTGTATATCCAATATTAAATATAGCGTTTCTAATATGTGTCGAATAATTCAATAATAAATAAAAACAGGTAAAAACATTGCCAAACTTTCCAAAAATAAGCAGCCTCAAACATCTCATTAATTACTAGTTTTTCACTATTAAAACAGAATTTTTTTTTGAATTTAAACAACACAATTATAATTTATTAATAATATGTTCAATAAAATTATTTAAATCAGTTATGAATGAAAACTAGTGTTTATTTTTATCACATTTCTTGTGATATTCACAGAAGGRCACTTARCAAAATGTGTACAAACAATAGGGCACCRCCTGCTAAAAAAAGGTTGGGAACCGCTGGTTTAAGGTTATTCGTTTTAAAATTACAACTCAATAATAAAATTGTTCGAGGGAGAAATCGAAATTTTCTAATGGCAATTAATAGTTCTAAAAGATTCTAAATATTTTGTATATAATATCATATTGTATGAAAAATAGTTTAATAAGAATAAATCTTTAATGAAAAATTAGGTATAAACGGTTATTATATTTTAAGTTCCTATAACAAAAAAAAAACCCATATCGATTTTGCAGAAAATTACTCATAAAAATTCTTATTTTTCCTTAATTTTGTTTTTCCCGACGCTTCTTATTGAACCAACAAGTTTTGTTGAACAAGRTTCACTTTCTTACTAGAAAAGATGAAGTAGAAAATCTCAGAAATTTTTTTTTAATTTGATATCATCCATGTAAAATCAATACATTTAACACTGTGTTCAGAATTTATATCAGATAGGATTATTAAATCTGAATTAAGTTATTAATAGTCTATCATCATAATTTCCACAATAGTTTTTAAAAATTAAAATTTGCTTGAATTATTTTTAGTAATGTTTTACAATAAGTTTACACTCTAATAATTTTATTTTTTACTCACAAAAAAATTACTTTGAGACGAACAACTAAAAAATTCGTGATCCAATGTGTTAACTATCAATTTAAGACGATGGTAGAAACTAACCCCACTTGTTCTAGCAGGATTTATGTTGACAAGAATATTTTTCTCTGAATTTGGTGGGTATCCATCATCCAAATTCCAATTTGATTTCTTAGTAAGAATATACGAATTGTTTTTTAAAAAGAAATTCAAATATCTGAAATTACAATATATTACATTATTAAAATGATCATAAAGAAAGATTTAAAAATAAATATCGATTACCGATGTTTGACCAAGTAGCTTGTATATATAGGTACTTCATAAAACTAATCTAACATGTAAATTCTGTCTGCTCAAAAAAGTATTAGTATTTAAGATTCTAAACTGAGTGATAAATGTAAATGTTCTTTAATGATGTTGGTATTTTGTTGTTTTTGTGTATGTCTGCACGCATCAGGAAAATGCTTGAGGGTAGTTTCTGATATAAAATAGGATGTTATTTGCGCTTGGAAGGGGGTCAAAAGTAAAAAAAAAATAGAAAACTTATTAAAATAATCGGGAAAAAAAATATGGAATAACTGGAATTTTTAAGAAAAACCAGTTTTAACATAATTTATTTTATTCCCTTATTGGTAGGTACATGCACATTTATATAAATATACATCTAATTATTTAATATTGAATAGATTTCACGAGTATGATAATGTCCCCCTCAATAAACCCTCGAACTTTTGATCACACCCTACAAATTACAATTCAGTGATTTTCTTAATGATGAATTTAATTTGAAACCTACTATAATATAGCGGAGCGACTTTCTTAGCTTTTTAAAACCAAAACTTTTTATATATAATACAATTTTACCTTTGATTATATTCATTGTTAAACATTTGAAACGATGGCATCATATTAACCGTAAAACATAATCCAAGTATACTCATTTTTGGTTGAATAAACTGGCAAAAATTTGAAACGGTCAAATTTTCCCATTTACCAGCTGATTGAAATACTTCGGAACAACTAATTGCACAATCCTATAGGATTAAAATACATTATATAAAATATTTTAATTTTTAAGGTACCATTAATTACATATACCAATTATTTCATTTTATTTTAAAGATAAATAAAATTCAATTTTAAAACAGAAACAAATATACTAAGTTGAAACTTTTACTCACGTTAATCAAATTCATAATTGAATCTTTATCAAAATAATCTTTATCAAAATGTTTGTTTTCATCAAAATGTTTGTTTTTACAATTTTTGTAAATATCCAAGGAACATATTTCTGACTGATAATGTTGAAGATTTTCCCTGAATAAAATGTATAACTAAAGTTTTAATCTGCAAAAGTCTTAATTTTACTAACACATTGCGTGTATTATGATTAGAGATGGTATAAAATTTGTATCAGACCACTTTAATTAAAAATATATGACACATTTAGTACGTAATTGGTATGAATTTGAACAATGTATGACTGTATTTCTGTAGTTTGATTTTGTTTCCATTCGCAAATAAAATCTAAACAAATATAGTACTAATGGATGTTTTTAGGAAATATTGCACTAAAATCAAATACTATATTTATTATTGAATAGATGCTTAAGTTTTTTAAAGCATGCGCAAGGTAAACTTCTAAAAGTCAATATCTACAAGCCTGCAGTAAATTATCCATATTTGGTCTTGCATATGTATATGTATATATATACATATATGTATATGCCAATGAACACTATTTTCATTAAAACAATACTTATAAAAAAAATGGTTTTTAAACAATTCAATTATAATTTTGTAATTAAATAAATAGTAATTAACGGCTAAAATCTAGTATTAAATAACTAAATGTTAAAAGCATAGAAATTAATTTTTCCGATAAATTAAGTAAGATATATTGTTTTTTGTTATATGAGCGCACGGCAATGTGCCGGCCAAGATCCAGCAATGCCAACACTGGCGAATCAATTCACCCAGTTTTCCTAACCTATATATCTCTGTTTCCTCTTAAGATAAACTTTTGAAATTTAAAACACAGATTAATATGGAGTAGTTTAGGACGCTCTAAGAAAATGAGCCTTTAAAATTGTTCCATTTAAAAATGAGAGGATTTCAAAATTTTCGATTTTGTTACTGACTCGCTCACTGACTCACTGATCATCAGAATTATAAGACACTTCCCGTATAGGTAGAAACATGAAATTTGGCACAAAGGTAGGTTTTACAGTTTAACTAAAGGGAAAAATCTAAAAATTGAAATTTTTTTCAAAATTAATGGCGCTTTAGAGAGTGTAACATAGAGTATTTGGCAGAGTGGTAGTTATTGGCACCAAATAATTTTGGTTTTTTTACGGACACACTGATACTGTTTTATTATCAATTAAATTAAATTAAATTCACAATTCGATTTGGGAAAAGAGCAGGTTAGGTGCCAATAACTATCAAAAACGAATGCTTAAGGTACCGATAACTGTACAGTGTACCTATGTTTTACCGTATTTATAAAAGTATGAAGTGGCGCGCTTAGCACGCATAAACGTTTTTTTTCAAACAGCGTTACAATATGGTAATAAGAAATTCTTGGTAGTTAACTTATGTATATTATATTTATAAGACATAATAATATTTTTGTAAATTTACATATATTTCATTCAAATACAAAATACAATATAATTATTCAAATACAGAATATTTTAATAATATTCGTCGGTTTACGTGATAAAGTCATAAAAAAATGTTGATGAAAAGTTGAATCCTCATGGAATTATTAGTTATTACCRAAATAGCGACGACCGTATCGTAATTGCGACGCATAATGTTGGTGTGGTTTTTAGTGGCAAGAGGGGAAAGGTCGTGCCCATCCACACGTGCATTAACCGCTCATGACGCTCATGAACGTAGCCAAACGGGCGGCTTTCTGTTCTGTTCCCTTTGATAGTGCCATTGTTGAATACAACCGTCTAAGAACTTTCATTCAGAGCGAATCATAGTACATTACGGTCAATTCTAGTTTATGATTCATTCAGAAAATGAATTCAGAAGTGTTAAGCAATACAAATAAAAAGAGTGTTGCTCTTTAATGTAGGAGTGCTGTGAGGTTATGAATTAAAGAATACCAGACTTAGCCACAATGTAGATTTCACTACTTTGATAKGCCGACTTTTTTGGGAGGGAGTTTGGAACTTGGCCTTTTTCATCGTTAGGTTTTTTTTTGGTGAGGGGGGGGGGTACAGTCTAGTCTACAGTATTATGTTGGAATCACACACATCATAAATAGTGAGGTAGTTATTTATTTAGATATGAACTTACCAATATGAGCTGTTTGTGTTCATGTGCTTCTCCCAAACCCATTTTCGCAGTTGGTTTGATGGACAAATATTAATTGACGGAAAAGGTATATCTTGAATGGATGATTCTGTGTTTTCAATGAATATGATGGTTGGACTATCAATCCAAACGTTCATCAAACCTCTTAGAGCACCCAAAGTAATTGATATCATAAAAAGAAACGTCAGAACCCAAAACAATCTAAAAAAAATTTGTTATATTTTTCATAATATTTTTAATACATCTGTCATGATATAAACCAATCTAAAAATGTATTTATTTTATCACGTTTTCATACTTGACTGGCATTCTTCTTGCATACAATAGACTAATATTATATTTATATGAGGTAATCACAATCAGCGATTCTCTACCAGAGTTCTGTGAAATGATTGAACATAATATAACAAATAAAGCATTCATACCAGTTTTTTGAAATATAAAATATTTTAATATTCTATAAATAAAAATACAGATACCGTCCACTTAAGTTTTTTTTAAGCTATTTAAATTTTTATCCTGCTATTGTAGTCTTTTATCAAAATAAGATGTCTATATATATTAAGCATGATAATAGGTAGTAAGATAAACTACTCATTATGGCTTTGTATTTGGCTTTAATCACTTACATGTACTGAAATTAAATAATCAACTGGTGTCACTTGTTCCCGGAAAAGGAGCCACTCGGGTTTTTAGTGAAAAATCTTCGCCACATATACACTTGTAACTTGTTCCAAACCAACCGTTCCCCCCAACAATAATGGCTGATGGCCATGTTTGCCGAGTTATAATAAACCATACTGTCTCTCACAGTAATAAACATATAATATTACCCRGGCTAATGATCTCAGATGTTGAAACCTTAACGCAATAAAAAACTGCTTATTATAACTACTAATTATTCCTCAAATGCTTTGTATAAACTGTAAGTCTGTATATAATTTTGATAAAGTAATGGTTTGTTTTTGAAATAATCATTTTACATTAAATTTTGAATTTATTACAAAAAAAAAAAAAAATCAAAAAGTTAAGTTGCTTACCAAAGATTATTTTGTTAAACGAATTTCGCATTGTATTTTAGTATAGTAAATATATATGAATATATAAAACTTATATTATATCWTAAAAAATATTGTAAACACAATAAATATGTATATTATTAAAATGCTTTTATTTTTATACATTACAATAAATTATATAGATGTTGGTTCACCTACTGAAATAAACGAAGATAATATATGTTTAAATATACACGACATACGGTTTATATATAAATAATAGTAAAATAAAATTACTATACAAAAATATATATTAAATGATAGAGGACAAAATCAAATTAAATTGTATAAAATTGTTAAAAYGAATAATCTTGATTACAGCTTGAATTGGAAACATTACAGAAAAATTTATTTTTGTCTAAAAAAACTGAGCTTTCCATGAAAATATCGTTTATTAAACATTATCCAACTCTTAAAAATTCAAATTCAAATGCAAATTTACCCCTAAAACCAAAAAAAGATAAAACTTCATTATTTTTCAATTAATTATAAAACCATAATAATGAAAAATTTAGAACAGTTGAAATGAACAATCTGAAATATTGTARTTTATAAATAATGAAGTACCCCGCGCTTATAATTCCATTTCTCTACGATAATGCACTGAAAATAGTTATTTTAATTAAATATACCTACTAAAAAAAAAATAGTAATTTCAAATAAACATTTAATTCAAGTATATACTTAACTTACTTTTCTACGGGTGATCTGTCCTTCATCACAAAATACTGCATACAATGTGAAGTCGTTTTTTCACAATAATAACGAAACCAACTACTTTCAGTCATTTTAAATATTTTAAAACAAAACTCGTGTATAGTGAAATAGGTATTTACGGTATTTCTGTACCTATTTATTCAATATATTTCTTCAACATATTCACTGGATTAACGATGAAGCACTTCTATTTTTATTTTTTATTTTTTTGAAAGTATATTAATCGTCACGTTTCAAAATAAAAATAGAATTAGGTACCTATATATTTTTTTGGCTAGGCTTGGCAGTTGAATGGTACCTATAATGATGATAAATATTATAGTAGTGAATTTTTAATATTTAATTGCGATGACAAATACGATTATATAGATGAAAATAAATAAAACGCAAGGTTTTTAAGTGGGCTCTGGAGAATTGATACATAATTATTATTTTTGATGTATAGTTGTAAATAAAACTGAAAAATGCAATAATCCGAACTAGTCACGTAATGTATTACTTTTATAGTTTTATTATTAAACATTTTTTTTATTTTTTTTATTTATTAACCCACGAAAAAAATAGGCTATTGGGTGATTATTTTTAGTAAGTTTTTCAAATGTGAGATAGAGTGCGGTTGGTTGGAACACATTTTCATGTGACAAGGGTTTGTTGTTAAAAACMTAGATGGTCACTCATCTAGGAATTAGCAACACCGGGCCATATATACACAAAGTGTGTTTCATTAGTTAAGCGTGTGATCACGCCTCACCAAACCACATTAAACATATTCTATGTAAATACTTATTTAGTTATACTTTTATGTAAATTCATTAAACGTTAGGTAGTGTATATTGCTCAAGCATTTATAATTTATTTAAAATTAAATTATTAAATATATTATTTTTTGTAAATAAATAGATAGCTACTAAACTACTAAAGATTGTTTTATAATATTTTGTTATATTATGTCCTATATGGCTATATGTCGATATGAATAAATATTTAATATTCAGAAATACTGTATAAAAAGTATTTTTAGCTAATTTCTCAAAATCAATTTCATAACATTCAAATTTATTTGTTTTAGTTATTTGATTACAACAGTTTAAGGAAACGGACAAACAACTTTTGTTTATGAAAAAGTTGGGTTTATTTTTGATTTTGAAACACTCAGTTTATATTAAAAAATAATTGTTACATTAAAGAAAACTTTTAATGAAAAAAAATTGTCATTCTCGAAAAGTTATAATTTGTAAAGATAATAGAGCAAACAAGAGTGTATACTTTAATATGCTCTTATTCCACGTAACGGGATACGATAATGTATGTTTGGAATTAAATTAAACATAAGAGATATTTATCATAGTACTTAAATGTTAAGATAATATGTCTTGATCTGGAAAATAATAAGAACAAAAATGAAAAAGACAGTCTTTTCCTTAGTAAAATAAATAAAAAATAAATAATTTGGTTATAATAAAGTGTTAAATTAATAATCAGAGTTCAGATTTTATAGCACTCAAAATTGCACAAATATACGCTTGTAATATAGGTACCTTAAATATCATTAATTATGCGCTAAAAATACGTAATAAAAACAACAAAATATGCAAAAAATGACATTTTTTAATCACTTACAATTGACTATACAACGTATTCAACGCTCGTTCGTTGATGAACTAGCGTCCAAAATCATTAAATACCTATACCTGTGTCTTTACCATCATATTAATAATCATAACTAATGTCTATGAGCAATTTAGTTTGTTATTTGGAACTCTAGATTTTCTATTATTATTATGGACAATTCATCTTAAGTATACAAAGTCAAATAAYTAACTAAAATAAAAATATAATTATTAATACAAATTTTGATTCTATATGTTAAAATTTCAGAAAAATTATCCACAATATAATTTACAGAGGAAAATGGGGGTTATTGTTTGAAAAAAGCAAATTTTTATATCACATGATACTCTGGTAGTACAAAAAAATTTCAAGAATCAAAAAATATGGTGTTTAAGTATATTCACCTTCAAAAATTAGATTTTGAATAAGGAAAGTGGGTGAACATGCTTAGTGAATCACTCTGTATAGACTATTATAGCTTACCATTCAAGTTAATAAAATATACAATAAACTTAGAACATTTATACAACTATAATCTTATGTTCATAGTTATTTCCGTATAATTTTATATTATCTTTGCTATTACATAATTTTGTGTATGTACTCGTATATTGTACATCAATATACTAACTGAGTAAATATTTTGAGAAGATAATGATTAAAGCCGTGTGATCATTTCGCCGACTTAACGTGTTTACATTATGATAATAATATTATTAATAGCTGTTATGAATATAATACTCGTTAATATTTAAAAAAAATATTAAAAATAACTATTATTGTTTTCTAAAAACAAATATTATTCTATTGATAGTAAGTAATAAGTAAATATTAAACATATTACTAAATATTACTAAATATATAATTAAATGCTCACTAAACAGTAATTATATAAATGTAGAATGTTTTCAAAATGTTATCTTGATTRGAAGCTTATATACATATTATGCCACAGTGCTCWTAACAAAATTATWATGGTCTAATAACTAATGAGGTTACTGTTTCGGTAATGAAAAACTATTTAATAGATTTAGAATTAAGCTGATAAAATTTTTAGACGATCGTCCGAATTTTGTAAGACCCAAACCTCGTTTATCTTCGTTGTTAAAGTATGTTTACAAACTCATAGGTAGTGTGATTTGAGTATTTTTTGAATTACTATTATTATTGAAACATGTTTTTATTTAATCGGAATATCAGATTAACTTTGATCTTCGAACCCTCATTTTAGTATTTCTATTACCACTGCTATWATATTATATTTTTTAAATTGTTTTATTTGACATTAGATTCTTAAAATCAAACAGATTTATAGTTTATTATTATTACTGAAGAAAAAAATAAGACGGTATTGTAAAAATAATTTGTTATTTAGTTTCCAGTTTTGTATGTGAAAAAACGATTGCATACCTATGAAAAAAATCCAAAAATGAAACTTAGAAATATTTTTGTGATCTTACATGTATTTTACAAGTAGTGTACTTAGATTATATCCAAAAAATATCCAAAACACGAAACCACCCTGCTACCATTTATCCAAAGCTAATTGTTGTACCTATATCAAGGCACGGTTGTACCTATATCAAGGAAAATTATTTAAAACGGGAATTTTACGCGAAATCTGTTTTCAACAAAATCAATTGTACTTTTAGTTGTGACTCTAAAATAAATCACCGTAAATACATGAAAATGTTCACTGAATGTTTTAATTTGTATACGTCATAAAATGTTTAAAATATTTTGACTCGAGTTGAACTATTTATAAGCATAAGGAATTTTCGATTATTAGTTTTTTTATGTATAAATGTCACTAAAAAATGTTTCACTCGGACAAAAACTTTAAAATAAAATAAAAGGTTCCTTGTAAATTTATATTACTGAAAAAAAAAATTGAGCATAAATTCAATAGCAAATTTTTATGAGCGTCTGAATTTCAAATCTTATAAATTTTACAATTACGGGAAACATGCAAAATATTTTAAGTTGGAAGTTCATACAAATTTTCTTTTTAAATCTAAGAATTGAAAATCAAATTTTATTTCCTAGAAGTTTGCCCAAAACTATAAAAAAATATCTACTGAAAAGTCAAATTACATTTTGATGAATCTTTGAAGTTAGTTTTGTTTACTAATTTTCAATTTTTTTTAGTTATTTTTTTCTGTAAATATCAATAAACCGTCAGGTCAATAAGCTTGAAAATGTAATACCTAAAATGTTTTTTATAAATCGTTACAGCAGTAGTTAAAAAATAATATTAAAAATGTAAAACTCCATTTTTTTATAGGAATTTAAAGTTCAAAGTTTAAAAATAAAGTTTAGTATAATATATAAACACATTTTTTTTTTTAGTTATAGTTTGGACGAAATTATATATTAAATAGCTAGAACAACGATTTTAGTTATATTATTCRTAGTTAGTATTGAAACTTATAAAGTATAATATAATACAAAAATATGGTAGTATGCAAATAATATCAATTCAAACTACCGGCTACTGTATTAATAGTAACAAAACACAWATAAAATAAAATATCCTAGACCGAAAAAACCGTCAAAGTTCATAATCGTTTTTCGTATACAACGATATTATATAGGTATTATAGAGTTAAAATGTTACACCATCCATTATAGTGGCCCACATTTAATTATAACCTACTGCACAGCAGAGTGACAGCCACTTACCCACTTTTTAATAATTGATAATAAGTATTATAACTAGTTATAACTTATAAATTATAATAGATTGATTACTAAACTGAGGGACAATTTAATATTATACATGTATGACATATCTACTATCAGAAATATTTTGATATCTTAATTGCATGTTTTATCTTGTTTATTGGATTTCAATGCATTTGCCACTTWGCCAGTAATTATATTATATATAATGAATGTAATTGGATAAAAGGATTTTATTACAATCTAGATAGTCTATAATATTGTGTATTATGTTATTATTTAAAAGACTTAATKATCATACCTACATATATCAGAAAATGTTTGATGATTAACAGSAGGTGCCTCAAAGTTTTATTTAAATATTTATAAGGCCGGTGACACACATGAGAAATTTGTTTTTCACAATGAATCACATGAAACATATTACATGGTTAATACACACAGAACAAATTTGTTTCATAAATGTTTTTTCACCTACCCACCATTTAGTTCACCCAGCTCGTTTTAGTTGATCTAAAGATGTCGTCCGAYGATGACATTATTTTTCTGCAGTGGTKGTTAAATCGAAACCAATAGGTATTAAACTTTCGCATTATTTTTTGCACATTTTTACTATTACCTATTGATATTTGTACTTTTTCTGATCCTTTATAATATAGAAGATAGTTTAAAAAGGTAATTAATACTATAATATAATCATAATCAATAACAATATAAATTATTATAAATTATCATATTTATACGTATCTGTTTACGTTGTTAACAGCGCGGGAGTTGATATAGTGAAATGACGAAACAATTACACATGAAACCAAACTGGTGTTTGTTTACAAAATATTTTTGCGATAACGTTTTGGAAACAACAGTGTGTGTTGCTCCATTTAAATACACGCGTTTTCAAGTAACGAAATAAATTACTTGTTTCACGAAACAAATTTCTCATGTGTGTCACCGGCCTAAGATTATAGCTTAAATGAACAATCGGATTAACTCGTTCATTTTTTCTTTAAAAAAACCTTATCATCAACCAGATTCTTAAAAAAAAATGTAATGAATGACTTAATTTTTCTGTAAATGTTATTCTAATTAAAATTGACCTTTCTAAACACTGAATATAAGTATATGTGACACAAAGAAATAACATAATAACAAAACATATCAGAATTAGAATTTTCACATTATAACGTGTAGTAAGTAAACGGCGACAGTAGCATTGTCGACAAAGGAGGAGCAAGCATACAAAGCATAGGTACAAATATTTTTTGAGATTTGGGAGGGGGCTGAAGCTC